AGTTACACATAATAGATTTGGTTACTGGGATGGATGTTCAAAACAAATATAAAAATCTATGAATAAAAAACTGTTTATTTACAAAAGCTAGTCCAACATCTAAGCTAACATTTACATTACAATAAAATGAAGCCAAATGTAACAATCAGGGTCATTATGACATTATTTTTAATCAATATTTCCAATGAAAATTCATATCCATAAAAACTATAGTCATAATTTCAGAGGACACAAGTGGGCCACCAAATGAAACACTTCGGTGGGCCGGATCCGGCACGCGGGCAGTCTAACATCTAAGCTAACATTTACATTACAATAAAATGAAGCCAAATGTAACAATCAGGGTCATTATGACATTATTTTTAATCAATATTTCCAATGAAAATTCATATCCATAAAAACTATAGTCATAATTTCAGAGGACACAAGTGGGCCAAATGAAACACTTCGGTGGGCCGGATCCGGCACGCGGGCCTTAATTTGCCCACCCCTGGCTTGGATGAGTTTTTATGACACTTAATCAATTTCAGTTGAAAATATTGTACATGTTTTGATCTATTTATTCATTTTTCTCCAGATTAATTATAAAATGTTTTATGGAAAATTAAAAAAAGTATCAGGGCTATGGACTATTGCTATAGTATTTCTTACAAATGGAAGGTTTCCAAGTGTCAACACTAAAGCAGTAAAATTGGATACTTCCGTAGTGTGTGTACCAGGTTAGGGTCATGCAATAATTTCATTCCGATTTTCTTTATTTTAGTTCTATTACGAGTTCGGTGACTGTTCGTATAAGCCAAGTGAATACCCCCCAAGTGAATAAATTAGTTACCTCCATATTGGTACACATATTTCTGGAGGCTGTAAAACCCACCCAGTAATTATTATGTGAGATTACTGATACCAGAAGGTAATAAATCAGATACTTTTTCTCCTTGACAAGATTCACTTCAATACCACTCAAAAACAATGTTCCCATACAAAATGGAAATTAATATTTGCAAAATAATAACAATCTTTGCAGAACAAAATATCCTATTTGATACAATTTTTTACGCAAATTGGAATATAAAGCAAGATATGAATACTTTTGAAATGTATTTAAAAATTATAAATAATTTAGAATATCAAAGTGAACACTGTTTTTTCAAGTTATGCTTTACCTCTGTGTGACCCCACTTCTGTGGAATCTATTGGAGCAAGACAGAGAAAAGTAAATATAATCCATTATCTTAACCCTCTAACTCTTTCTAAGATATATTGTATTATTTATGAGGCAAAAGTGTAGCACAGGGTTAATAAGTACATTAGTGAAAGTCTCAATTTTGAATCTCTTCTCTGGAGGTAAAAATCAATACATTGAGCCATATGGGACACAATAGCAATTGTTGTTATTCACAAAAAATTGATTTTCAAGATCGCTACTTGTAAGACGGCGGTTTTTAAACTTGTGATAGTTATTGTAGCCATTTAAAATAAATAATTTTTTGTTGAAGTAGAATTTTGATATTTTTGTTTTCAAAATCTTGTTTTACGTCTGGTATTATCAAAGAAATCGAATGTACACTGGCTTTTTGCTGCTTCATTGCCCCTTTAATCATGAATGCTTTATTTCAATATACAGGGTGTCCATAAAGTCCTTTTACAATTTCAATTTTGTTATGGAGTAAGTTCTAAATATATCTTAACCAGGTTTGTTGTTTTTAATCAGTATTTTTACTTCATTCAATACATCTGTGAGGGCCAAAACAAAGCATATGGTATCAAGAAATTCCTTCGCAATTTAAAAAATTTTAAGACTTTATGGACACCCCATATTTCTATGATTTTTTGAAAGGACAAATCAAAACAGCGAAAAGAAAAATCAAGCATCTTACATTGTTAAATAATGTCATAAATATGTATTTATATGGACTATTTATTCTTGAATTATACTACGTCTACAAATAATATTTTCTAATATTTAATATTGAAAGTGACCAAGGTCTGCTTCCTTCCTTTAACTTTAAACTTGAATTCAACGAAGATCGAACAGATACTCTTGTATATTCATACAGATTAAACTTGATGATATAGAAATAATGAAAAAATGATATAGAATAAAAATATCATATGGTACTATTAGAGTAAGCTTATTTTTAGTCTAACAGCCAGATGCCAATCACCTACAAGGGAACAAGGTAATTCCAAGTGAAAATATTCCAAATTAGGCGCTCCGGAAATGTGTGTACCAATATGGAGGTAACTAATTTTGTTCGCCTACTTTACATCGCGTTGTGTAAAGGGACGAAAACCTATGGGCAGAGGTATATCAACCTGGCTAACACAGACAGTCTCTGAACTCGTAATAGAACTGAAATAAGGGTATTCGTAATAACATTATGACCTAGCTCTGACCTGGTACACACACTACGGCCCTACCCCAAATTATTCCTGAAATTAGGAACTGATCAGACCTATCAAAATTTAATTTGTTCGGAAATAATCGATATTAGATATAACCTCTTGATCAGAAGAGTAAATGTTTTATATCATTTCAGTCTCTGATCCGTTTATTGAAATTAAAGTCCAATAGATTATGCATTTGAATCCTATCTAATACACAGTCTGAAGTGGAGATTAAAATTAGTGTTCCCCTACGAATTATGCAAGATCATTAACACCAGCTTATAAAAAGAGTTATAAATATTATACAATCCAATAAAACAAATTGCAAAAAATGTTATGAGTAAAATTGCAACAAAATACAAACTGATAAAAACTCAATGGGAACACAGATTAAGTCACTTCGACAAGAAGAAGAGAGATTATGATCAAGACAATTGGCATTATCTGATCATAAAGCACATTGTTTTACATTTAATTTGAGGATGACAGAAGCAAGAACATCAGATTATACCAATGAATGACACTATCGTGAAATTTTACCTCCAAATCGTGAGGTGTGCTAATATAATCTTGGCATGCCATCCATTTTAACAACATAGGAGTGGCATAGGCTGTCGAAATTGTGTTTTTAAAGATATTGAAATCTTCTAACATTGTCAAGATCATAGGAAATACAAGGTCAAATTTTAGTGCTATAATACATTATAGGTTATACTAACAATATTGGTATAGTTGGTAATGGTAATGTGCATATATGAAATGTTCGATACAGATCCAGTGTAATCAGCGTGATTTCAATAATTTGAATATATAGTTGAAATACATGATGTCCATAAAGTCCTATTACAATTTCAATTTTGTTAAAGTCAGACTTTATGGACACCCTATATATCTTTTCAAATAACATTAATCTTTTCCCCTATTTTTCATCCCTATTTTTAACACATCACTCTTTTAATCATGTCCAAATCTAATCTAATATACATATGGAAACATAGATAATTATTATTTATATTCAATATTTTAAATTCTTGGTATCAAGAATAATTTGGACTAGTTTCAATTTGAAATTGTCAGATTGAGCAATTGAAGTCTTACAATATAAATAAAAGACCTTCATTTCATTTCTTAATTTCTTAAAACTGTGGTTAATAAATAAATCACTGATTATTGCATTTCCAAAATGTATGTGTTCTTTGCCCCCCCCCCAAAAAATAAAAATTTAAAGCCGATTTCAAATATTGTTAAACATTTCTGGATGAACTTGATGAATTTTCTCAAAAACGATTAAATGAATTTAATCCAATGTTAATCTTCTGCTTTGATCAATTACAATTATAACACAGTTCAATTGCATGATTAACAAGTTCAAACACATTCTCTCCCGGATTAAATCACAGACTTTTGTAAAGTTAATACCTCGTTAAGCCAACTTCAAAGCAAGGATGATGGAAATGTGAAATTCTATATTAGAAGCATAAAAGGAATTAAGGAATATCAATTTTAAATTAATGACTTGGTTTTGGTATGATTCAGTTGGAAAATTCGAATAAATTTTGATTTTGATTTTAAAAAGCTTTAGATAATTTTTGAATATTAGTGATTTGAAAATTACAATCAAAAGAAATTTTCTGATTTGAGAACTTTATCTGCTCCTTTTATTTTATAAAATGATTACGGCCCCAACAGAGCGAATGCGATCGGCCATGCTCCAGCGCCCTCACGGGGAGGCTCCAGGTCCGATAAAAGACTCGTCAACGGCAGACACGGACTACTCCTATAAATTTATATGAAAGTGGATTCCAATGATACAATTCATCCAAATACAATCTGCCATTACATTTTGTGTGGAGCCTATTTCAAACAGAATAAAACATCCCATAAACCAAGTGGTTCCCACATCGCGCTCTGTGACGATTTGATATGGCCCGCCGAACTTAAGTGAAATAGTTAGACACTTTATGTTTTTTCTTTTTGCCTCCAAGATACCACAAAATTGTTACATGATCATCATTATATTATTGTAACAATTCAAATATATCGATATGTTATTTATATGTACCGGTACGGGTATGGGCCCCTTGCGGGCACTTTTCTCTCTTGGCCCGCATCCTTCCGCTTATAATTTTGGCCCCCGGTCAATCAAGTTCGGGGACCACTGCCATAAAAACATCCCATAATCCAGCTATTCTCAGACATTAACATGATCTTGTTAAAACATCACTCTAATCAGGCTACATACAGAAATAAGAGACAAAAATTGACGAACATTATTATTAAGGTGCTCCTGAAGTATGCGAACCAAGATGGCGGACATCGAAACGTAGCATGGGTAACAGGTTAAAGTTAGGCCATAATTTTATTCCAATTTCCCCTATTTTAGTCCTACTATGAGTTCGAAGACTAGCCAAGTGCCTCTCGTAGTATTTGTACCTAAAATTATGGCCTAACCCTAACCTAGTACACATATTACATTCCGATGTCCACCATCTTGGTTCGCATACTTCAGAAGCCCCATTATTAATGTATCTTAGACAATTTGCAACTAAAGCAACTTTAGTAAGCAACTAAATTTCCCTGTCAAACATCTGACAATCTGTACTTCATCTTACCTGATTTTTCTTTTATTTCACAAAGGACTTGAAACAGAGCTCCTTTCATTCTATGAACATTCAATGCATGTTTCCTGAAACATGAATAATATGCATTAATAAGTTAATTTATATATAAGATAGCAAATAGAAATAAGAGAACCACGCAGCATATGAAAAACTTGAAAATTTTGGCTGTGAACGGGAGCATATCCACGGCCCAGGAAGCAAATAAAAAATATCCTGAAAACTTTTAACATATTATATTCAAATATTCGATTCATTGGTGATCTATCAATACAAAGTTTATTCTTATAGTTTAAATCCCAGCCTTGAGCACAACTTGTAAAACAGTCAAACATGGGTATTGATCTGATTTGGGCAAAGTACAGTCTACGGGTCAAATCTGGCATGTTAGGTAATTCTATCTGGCCCGCCTGATGCTGCCACAAATAAACTAAAACCAAATTTTGATGTTTATCTAAAAAATAACATAACCAAGTTATTTGTTGAGATTACGATTAAATTTGATTTTGACATGAGGCTTATTGTAATACTGCAAATATTGTAACACTGCAAATATCGTTCATAAAATGTAACGTTTCATGTCACACTTACATGGCCCGCTAGTCTAGGTGGGCAAAATTGTTTAGCCCCTGGTGCAAAAATCTTGATGGTATAGATAGTCAACATAATGTACCATATAGGCAGACATGTTTGGTGCAAACGTCCTAAGACACCTAATTTACCACCACCTTACATAGTTTGAGATTTCCCCGCTACAGATTTAAAGGTGTAAATAAAGTGAAAACGAGAATATCGGTCGGAGACCGAAGACTTATCGATCTTAGATCGGTAATTAGTTAATAACTCGCTAATTATACGACATAATTAACCCAAAATCTATAGGCTTCTGGTCCGAGGTAAGATGCATGCACATGCAAAATTTGGAGCAGATTCAACCACGCGTTCGTGAGATATCGCGTTCATCTAACAGACAAACAGACAAATACCTATCAACATACTTACCGATCTTAAGATCGATAAGTAACAATTAGAAATTTATCCAAGATATTTCCAGACATCTTGTAAAAGTTTTATCAGCACAAGAGTGAAAATGAAATTTCCAAAATAACCTGGCTTGGGCTTCGTCCAAACTTTGGTCAGTAATCGTCATAATTTGTTGCAAAACATCACTGATGTCTTGTTTTCTACCGAGAGGTAGAATATTTGATTGTGAATCTACATCATTGCCTTGTTGTCCTCGTGGATTGTAATCTCCACCTCCGTGCATTTGCCCTTGCAAAAATGCCTGAGAACGCAAAATAATAAGGTTAGTATTGCATCTTCTACCTACAGATTCTGTAGGATTATTTTTGTCTAAAGCATTATATTGTGTTTAACATAAATTCACCAATTTTGCAGCCAAATCAAACTGGCAGGGGATATGTATTAGAATACTAGTGTAGTATCTAGTGTCCTAATGATTTCACAGTCCCAAAAAGAACTGCCAAAGTACCTCGCATTTTCTGCGCTGATAGTGAACACTGTAGCCCAATGCTTTTAAACATTGTTTCCACGAAGCGCTTATTGGGGTTCTGTGAAATTTGGGAGCTCGGCGACAGATTCTCTTTCAGTGGACTGTGTCAATTCCCTATACCTATATGTGTGAAGCAGTAATTTCTGCTCTAATAACTATTATGAATTAAAATATGAGTCGCTTGAATAGTGTGGATATGTGCATAAGGATTGCATTGAGCGACATTGAGCCACGATTTAGCTGTTAGTGTGAAAAATGCATTTTATCTTATGATGTAACATTACATTGTTATTGGACTAAGTAAAAATTTCACTGAGCAACATGAAGCCACGATTTCAATGAAACACAGAAATATTCGACTTTCATAAATTTATAAGTGTTTTTGAACAATCCTTGATGAGACCAATATCATAATTACAGTAGGGCACAGTTTCCTGATTCAAAAATGTCCCCACATTTGGTGCAATAAAACAAACACTTTATTTGTCTCGGAAACGAAGGTATCTGGACCAAAATAGCATTTTTTTTTCAAAACTCTCCAAGCTACAGTGCTGTTATCGAAGCCAAAAGTAGGGGTTTGCATTCACTGTTATAATTGATGTCTTTCAATGTGGGGTCTTCCAATTCTCGTAATCAAAGAACTGTGCCATACTGTATTAGATAAATATAAATCAAGTGCCACATGTTTTTTGGGGCAAAAATAATGCACTTAATGCAGAAGTTCTACTAGACTATAAATCTAGAATCCAAGTTTAAGGGTAAATCGAAATTTTCAGATTACATAAGGACAACCAACAGCATAGACTCTTAGAGTAAGCAATTGAAAGTGATATCTTGAAAACTAGACAATATCATTTGAGATTATGCCGGTACAGATATAGATAGATAAGATAAGTTTATTTCGACTCCATAATCAGCAAAAAGGCGATAATACGGTTGATAAAAACAAATAAATAAAAACTAATTATGAAATCAGGAGAGTAAACAAAACCTTGGATAAGGTTTAAAACGTACAGAATATAAGATGGAAGGTACGGGTATTGCCAAAAAGAAGTGGTACGTGTTCACTCACCTAAAACTATTGAATCAAACCATTCACACTCACACACATGTAGTCTAAGTAGTATTAGAATATAAATCAAAATGAGAATTTGCAAAGTCATTTTTCAAATGATTGAGCAACTCACCTGGCTGCCGTAATTCCCTTCATCCATTTGTAGCCACAGAATTTCCTTCAATTTAATTTTGCTAGATCCAATATCCTGAATATTAATTATTATGTCAAAAATGAAAAGAACGAACTAAATCTGTAGTCTAAATACAAAAATAACCTCCAGTCTGCCACTAGGATATAATTCATTACATACCAAAAAAATTCAATATGGATATCTACCTGACCTACATAAGTCTGAAGTAGGCTACCGGTACGGTATTATTTTATAGATTACGGTACCACTTTATATAAAAAAAAAATAATGAGAAAAGCGTTTTTTTCACACAAATGCACAACTACACAAAAATGAAACGACCCATAGGGGCCTGTTCGTGTTAATAAAATAAATGAGATCCTCAGTTTTGGTATTACAGAACCTCCAAAATAAGTAAATATGCCAAAATAAACAAAAGTAGATATCATCCTACCCGAAAAGCAACAAAAGTTTGAAGCAGCAGAGCGCAACTTTGACCGACTTGCGCGTGAAAAAAAATACTTCGAGTGCCCACTTGTGGTCAAACTAGAATTTACTCTTATTTTATATCAACTCGAGACAGCCTACCTGCGGAAATCGGTGACCATATTTACAATTTCGGTTTCGAAATTTTCAAGTACCAAGCCAAGGAATTTTTAGAAATTACTTCAATCCTTGAAAGTACGCATATTTATTGCATGTCATATTTATATATATACAAAAGCGTGTCACGACGACTTCCTAATTTCCATATTTATCTCGGGGGAGACAACAATCGAAGAGCCTGGATGAGCATATGGCACACCACGGCCTTGTCTTGTAACTCAAAATTCGAGTTCCAAGTAAAGTAACTGCTATCAAGAATCACAAGTCAAGTCTTATTGCTAATGGCCCGAGTCACAAATTAAAATAAAATTCATGGATAACAGTGCGATAAACAATAGAGCGATGCTAAAATATAAGATCATGAAATAGTACGGGTATGCAATCTTCCCCGCAGCTGAGTAGCGGGAAAGCGGAACCGCCACCAGGAGCGCAATTTTCAATTTCGATGACGTCTTGGCACACGAAAACGAATGTCATAGAGGCCACAGAACTTTTTAAAATAGTTAAAAGTTGTTGCTTTTGTAACACTGTAAACATTGTCCATAACAAATTTTGGGTCCAGATCTAAAAACGGTGCCCCAGCCTAGTTAGGGTTACCATATTTTCGTGACTTCAAAGTGGGACGCCTCTAAAGACAACGACACCTTAGCTGTGATTTTGTAACTTTACATTTTCCGATTTTACTACATAGGCCTACATTTAAAGCTATCCCGGCTGTCTTCATTGACCATATTGTCATCGGAATTCATGCGCATATTCTCTGTCCAAATATGGGGAATTTACGTTAACGATAGCGGTGCAAATATTTCGAATTTAGACTAATTAGTATTGGTTTTACATGCGATACGTTTTCTAACAATGTTAGCGGGAAACAACGAAACAAACGCATTCGCCTTCAGTAAGTGGGCTAGCGCTGCACTACACACAGCGCCGGATTAACCATTAAACGATATAAGCACGTGCTTAGGGCACCGAGCAAAGAGGGGCACCACAGAAATTTTAGAGCAGAATTTTATATAGTTTATCGGTGTTTATTAAAAAAATTACGAGTTCACCAGACGACTCAAACTTCAAAATGTTCGCTTATTTTTCGTCTTCAAGTATCATATCGATCTTATTAAAAATAAACACTGACACTTTTTTTGGACACGAAATGTGCCTATGAGTCGTTTTCTTAAATTGTTGTTGTTTTTTCTTTCAGTATTCTCCTTGTTGCTGCATTTTTGTTTTAAAAAACTTTCTTTTCTCTTCAATAATTGGACCAATAAACTATTTACACTATGTGGCGGTTCCACGATCGCATTTCAACGATCTAGTGGTCAGCGAAGTGGGGAGTTTTTTGATAAGGTAGACCAGGGTGGTCCAAACCCTGTCATGCTGATACATTCCGTGCGGCTCACAGAACAATTTTAACGTATATTTTTATCTAATGGAGGAACGTTTTTGAGTTTTTTTCAGCTATTCCAACTGGGGTTGGGATCCCGAGATTCAAACCCTTTTTCTAACGCTTTGTGCTTTTATTTTAGTGAAAACACTCCTCTGTTTTCAAGCGTCGACCACGTGACAGTATTGACGAAACGCAGAGCCGACTTAACGCCGCACAATCCATTTTTTTTAGCTAGGTCCCGAAATACCAACTTAGACGGACTTGTTTGGTATTTGACGATGGCACTAAGCTTGCTCACGCTGCCAGTTTTTAAATTACCCAACATAACAATTCATTTGATTTCAAGCAATATCTGTCACGAAAGAATATAATTTGAAGCGACATTAAACGCGAGATGCGCAAAATACAACGATAATTCTCGGGAATTAACTTTAAAATAACTAAAGGCTTTATATATCTTTTTTAAAAGAACGCCACCCATGCTGCAACATAATAATAGTCTGATTAGAACGGTAAACTCTCGTTGTTTATTAAATTTAAAGTAAGTAAACTCGCAATATTTCGATCACTTTTGGGTTTTCTCCGACTTGCCGCCCGCGAGACCTCTTCAAAAGTTTTTGCGGTCCTTCAACCTAGCAACCTTGAACCACCCCGAGGAAGACTACTAGATACCGGTAAAATTTCAAGCTACAGTTGTGACTTGTATCCTTTGGTATTCCGATTCACGTTGAGACTGGAGGCATGAATCTTTATTGTCACACTCCCTCAGGATTAGAGCTCAACCGATATATCGGCCCAATATTGCGTGTCTGCCGATATATATATATATATATCGGCTGTATAAAACAGTTGAAAAACCTGAAAATGTTCGTAAAAGTTATTTTATTTACTGCTGGTTGTGATTATTTTTAATGGATAATACACTTATGTGGTTTATCGGTTTTCATAATTAAATTACACATGACAGGGGCACCAAAGTCTTCAGTGCCTAGGGCACCAAATGGGCTTAATCCGCCCCTGACTACACAGAAACAACAGTATTAAGAACATGTTTGTGTATTATGCTGGAGGGCTGAAAGACAAAGCGGGACTTTTGGCTGACTTGTCGGGACGGCGGGACAAGACGCTAAAAAGCGGGACGTCGTATGGTAAGCCTAGTCCATGTCAGATGTTTACCCGTTACTTTTTTCAGGCACACGGACTTGATGGCGGTGTTGAGTAAAAGCAGTGATGGAATTCAAATTTTTCGTCAGCCAGTTCCATCATACAAATGTCATATTTTCAGGCGGTTCTGTTACAAAAAGTCATGTAATGCTAACCGGTTCGCTGATCTCATAAAATTCCGTGAGACGGTTCTATAGAACCGGTGCGAACCGGCTGAATCCCACTACTGGGTAAAAGCCCTTAGACATCGAGTCGCAAGGATAAATGTAGTTCTCAACTCCATGTTGGAAGAAACCGTTACCGACCAGAGTAACGTGAATCACTCTAAGACAGGGGTCCAGCAATGCTCTTGCGCATAAATATCCACCACAGCACTCACATATACGAGCAAAAACTGAGCGCAATTTTGGAAAGCGTAAATTATAAGCGTTTTACGCTCATAATTGAAGAAAGAAAATTTATGTGTGCATTAAAACCAAAAGTCACTACAAATATACAAAGTGTCTCAAAAGTAAGTATACAACTACCTGAAAGGCAGATCAAAATTAAAAGTGCATAGGCCTACTAATTTTGAGACATCATGTATATAACAAAGTTGTTGGTGAATGGCTGGGCTGTAACGAAAATTCTGCCATCAAAGTCAGTCGTAAATATGATCTTTTTAGAAATATAAATCATACGAGACCCATTAAAATTAAAGCAGTCGCAATTGATGATATTTTAATTTAGAAAAACCCTTTCAAACTGATATATCCATAAATAGCGGATATTGAGACTCGAAGAAAATGGTTGCCTTGGAGAAACAAATTGGAATAACTCTAAACTATAATATCTTACCTCAAACTTACACCGGATTCGTATAACAAGAATTCTTACTCTCAGTATACCAATTAACGCGAGATGAAATTTAACGAACATTCCTAGAATTGCAAGCTTTGAGAAACAAGAGAGCTGTGCTCATATATATGGACACGTAACAAGGTGTCGCTATTTTTTATTCTGACACATAAAAACGAATCTCTTGATGTCCACAGAAATTCTTGAAATAAGTAAAAGTAATAGCCTTCTGGCAAAAAAAATCAATCTTTAATCACTGAAAATTTCAAAGCAGTATTCGAAGAGAAGAGCGATTTCATCATGACGAAAGAGAGACTAACAAGAACAACAACATAATATTGAAACGATCGTTATGTGCAATGACGTGTCCAATTATGTTTCTTTTATGCCACCTATCGCGCATTGTACTGCATTGAAAGCTCACTTGTCGAATATGATACGTGTTTTATTTCACATGGCATAAAAGTGAAAGGATATGGAAAAACATGGGATACAAATGCCAAATCGAAGCCGTAGTCTACCATACCTAATACAGTACCCTATCTAGTCTCCTGTATGGTATAGTAAAACAAGAGAGCTATGCTCAAATATATGGACACGTTTGAGCAGTACAGTACGGTTTACCGTACCTTTAGCATCACCGGTAATCTAAAAAAACTTACAATTTTTGAGCAACGATTTTTAGAATCCGCCTTCACGCCGACGTTCGATGGCACGTGATCATGTTTCCGCGGAACGTTCGGTGACGTCAAAGCAAACAAAAACAAATCTCACAGAGCTAACAGAAATATTTGAAATAAATAAAAGTGATAGCCTTCGGGAGAAAAATTTGTAACCACTGAAAACTTCTGAACAATTGGTCCAGTAATCAAAGAGAAAAGCGACTTTTTAAAATTTCCACTAGGTGTCCAAAAAGTGTCAAATAACAACAACAACAACAAAATAATATTGAAACGATCGCTATGTCCACTACGTGTCCAAAAACTTGCCGACGTTTGCGTAGCGCGGGAATAGCATGAGAGAGGTCAAAGAACCACTCAGAATAATTATTCATATTAAAAAAAGTAAAATAACAACAACATAAAAACAAAACGATCCATAGGTCCATTTCGTGTCTAATAAATGATTTTTAAAACAAAATTCGAAGTGTGTCGTATTTCTTTCCCAATTTACTCTGCACTGTACCCCACGTGTCGAAATACTACCCAAAATTGTAAAAAACTAATAAGAATGACTGTGTGAATTGATACAAAATCAAATTAAAATACCAGCCTAGTTTTGAATAGGTGCACATTCACATGCAAGCGACAATTGGTAGCGAATAGGAGTCTATACTTTTGAACGCAAATAATTGAAGCTAATAAAATTACCCCATTCCTTATCATGGGATAAACGTGCATTTTTGTTATACATTTGTGGCTTTTGAACCTTCCTATATGGTTGTTTTAAAATGCATTATTGCACTCGTGAATACAATGACACAAGGAAATGGATAAAGTAAAGTAGTTAGTTATGTGCGTTCGCACTCCGCA